CGTCCTCCTCCTCCTCCTCCTCCTCCTCCTCCTCCTCCTCGTCTTCTTCTTCTCTCTTCTTCTTCTTCTTCTTATCTTTTCCCCCAAAGGCTCTGCGTGTATCTAACTCACTAACGTTCTGAGGGATAATTTCCCTATCCGTCACAGCATATACTCAGCGCTCCCAAAGCCGACCATTCTCGTTACCGCCGGCTATTGGCGGGGGCCTTCTCCGAGCGCGGCCTTCGCGCTCAAGAACCGCTGATCAACCAGCATCTCGACCTGCTCCTCCAGCGCCTCACCGCGTTGGCCACTGCCGGCGAGTCGGTTGACTTCACGGAGTGGTACAGCATGATGGTGTTCGACGTGATCGGGGACCTGGCATGGGGGGAGTCCTTCCATTCCCTGCGTGAAGGAAAGCTGCACGAGTGGATCCCAGCAATTGCATCAACAGTCAAGTTCGCGATGCAGTCCAGTCCGCTGCTGGAGTACGGACTGGGATGGCTGATCCCCCTGTTCGTCTCGCGCACGGTGCGCGAGCAGCGCGCAGCGAATTACCGGTTCTCCGAGGCCAAGGTGGCCCAGCGTCTGCGGGTGAAGGGGGCCCGCGGCGACTTCTGGGACCGGGTGGTAATCAAGAGCGCGGACGACAACCGCACCGGCGAGGGAATGACGCGCGGCGAAATGCTTAACAATGCCAGTATCCTCGTGCTCGCCGGCTCCGAAACCAGCGCCACCACCCTCTGCGGTATGACCTACTTTCTGCTGCGCAACCCGGCCGCCTATCGCCGGCTGGTCGCCGAGATCCGTGGCGCCTTCTCCGCCCGCGCTGATATCACCATGGTCTCCCTCGGACATCTGCCGTATCTCAATGCGGTGTTTCAGGAGACCTTGCGTCTGTACCCCCCAGTGCCAACGCACAGCCAACGGGTTCCGCCCAAGGGTGGTGCGCTGGTGTGCGGGCAATGGATCCCGGAAAATGTGAGTTGCGCGCCGCTCCGCTGCCTTACCCCTTTCCCCCTTCCCTCCCTCGCCCCCTCCTACACAAAGGATGACTGACTGCAGTCATTGCTGATAATGCGAAAAATGGACAAATAGACTAGCGTCGGAATTTCCATGATGGGGGCCTGCCTTGATCCGGAAAACTTCCATCGCGCGCGAGAGTTTTGCCCGGAACGCTGGCCCGAAGACGCCCCGGTTGAGTTCCGTCAGGACAACAAGGCCGTCTACCAGCCATGGAGCATGGGGACACGCAACTGTCTGGGGCGCAACCTGGCACTCGCGGAAATCCGGCTGATCATGGCCAACCTGCTGTGGACCTTCGATCTGGAAATGGACCAAGATCGCATGGGAAGGAGAGCAGGTGAGTGGATCGACCAGAAGATTTGGGGGGTTTGGTTCAAGAAGCCGCTCTGGGTCTCGTTGAGACTGGCTCGAGACCAGGTTTCATCATGATAAACGGGCTGGAGGAAGATTGACCCCTGATATCGTTGGAAGAGAAGGAGGAGTGCAACTCCGAGTTTCCTCCGGGAGAGAAATAGTCGCGAGACTGGTGACCATGGAGCTTAGTTCGATGCATGTATAGTCTCGAAATGCCTTGAAGCTTCTATATCGATGGTATGATGTGTGGTGATGCTCTCTCTGAGACATAGGGTCAGTAATAATTACCGATTCTTTTCTCCAAATTGAGATTGTCGCCAGAAGGCAAGGGTGTTGATATCTAGCTATGTATATATACTCATATACATATAGTTATGGAAAAAAAGATCGTTCAGGTCCAAGCGTAGGAACAAGTCATGCTTCGGTTAGCGTTAGCTGTTTGCTTCTCCCACTTCCTCAAAGAATCACGTCCTCTGCCCCAACACCTCAACTCTCTTCACCCCTCAATATAACATAAGCAATACCTCCAGAACACTCTTTCCTCCTCCCGGACCCCGAGTGGACTGAGTGGGCCGCTACTACTACTCATCCTCCTCGTCACCAGGCCCGCCTTGCTTCCCCTTGACGCTTTTCCACTCGAGTGCACATGCGCCCAAGGCGGAGAGTGCGGCCATGATGGTGCCGACGATGAACACCCAGCGCAGAGCGGTGTTATACTCCACCAGGACGGCATGCAAGTCTTTGGTCGGAACAATGCTGCGCAGATCGGTGGCGCCGGTGTTGATAATGGTTTCGGGGTCGAGGTCGTCGAGGACGTGGGTCAGGCCGGCAATCAACTTATGGTCAAAAACGTTCTCGCCCACGGAGACGAAGATGGTACCGCCCAGCTGCTGGCAGAAGAAGACAAGGGAGACGCCGACGGGGATGTCGCGGGGCTGGAGGACGGTCTGAACGGCGATGGCGGCGTGCTGCATGCCTAACCCGATCCCGAAGCCCAGGATAATCTGGTAGCCAATCCACATGCCGGCGCTCGTGTCAACGTGCCACGTGGAAATCAGCCCAGCGCCTAGGGGCATCAGACACGAGGAGGCAATGGTGAACGGGGTGTAGTATCCCAGCCGGCCCACCAGCTGGCCGGACAACGTGCTGCCGGCGACCAGCGAGAGCACCAGCGGCAGGGTGTCGATGCCGGACTGCACAGCGGTGCGGTCCTTGATCGCCTGCAGCCAGATGGGAAGGTAGTAGAGCAGCATCAACATCGTCGATGCCAGACAGAACATAAACCACATCGCCGCCACGACGCTGCGGTTCCCAATCACCCGCGGCTGAATCGTCGCCGTCGCCGGGGTGTACACCTCGACCATCACCCAGATTATCAGGCAGAGGCCAAACATCACGAACAGCAGGATAACGCGCCAATTGCTCCAGGCGTACTTGCTGCCACCCCACTGCAGGGCTAGCAAGAGGCATATCAACGCGGAGAAGAGAAAGAGCTCGCCGAGAAGGTCGAGCCTGGCCAGCTTCTGCCGAAGCGTCAGCCCCGGGTGCATCGCGGGTGTGGGCTTCAGCGCCAGAAAGATGACCAACATGGCGGCACCCCCGATCGGCAGGTTGATGTAGAAACACCAGCGCCAGTTGACCTCGCTGGTAAAGGCGCCTCCCAGCAGGGGGCCCACCACGGAAGAGGTGCCCAGTACTGCGCTGAAGAAGCCGTTATACAGTGGCCGCTTGTGCAGTGGCACCGCCGACATCATAAGCACGATAGCCCCGGACATGATACCCGCACTCCCCATGCCGGCGATCGCTCGCCCCAGAATAAAGGCGAGTGAGTTGGGTGCCGTGGCGCAGATCAACGACCCGATTTCAAAGAGAAAGACCAGCGCCAGGAAGACGTACTTGGCCGGGTAGAAGCCGTACACCTTGCCCCACAGGAGCTGGAAGCAGCATGCGGTTACCATGAACGCACTGCCATACCACCCGATATCGCCCAGGCTGTTGAACTCGTTGGTGATCTGAGGAATCGCGGTTGCAATGATCGTGCGGTCCTAGATGTTGTGCAGGTGTTAGCGCAGGTTAGTCCTCAATCCCACAAAGTCGTCATCTCCGTAATGCGTCCAAAACATCAAACGATAAAAAAGCTCCTCACCAGCGACATGATAAAGATGGCACACAGGATACAGATCATGATGAGGGCGACCTGTACAGGCCCAGGATATTCGGGCTCAGGCGAGTCGGCCGACTCCTTGAGACTCGAGGGGCTTCTCTCCACCTTGCTCTCCTGCGACACCTCGACCTCTGCGGTGTCCTTGAAGTCCTCCGCCTGGTCGCAGGCGGGGACATCTTTGCTAGTCATTGCTATATTGGAGAGGTGAGCGGATGCGATGAAGGTAGAGGTAATAGTTGACTCGATTCTCTTGCTGAGCTGTGGCTACTCCCGACGCATCTACAGACTCTATTGGCAAGAAATTAGGACTGTGGTGGATACAAGAAACAATCACGTTGGGGTCAACCGAAAGTAATCAACGCCCAGCCGGCAGCAAGAACACTCAAAGAATGATATGACTGGACGGGTGCAGGTGCACAGGAGGAGAGGAGAGAACGGCATCAAGAACGGGCGTAGGGAGGCAAGGAGCGAAGACGCAAATCACCAACCAGCGTCGGGATTCGGGGCGTCGGGGATTCAGAGGGCCCGATGGTGGGATCGAACTCCGATGTCCGGCCGGACAAAAAAGCAAGCTGAAACCTGTCACATGTGATTCGATAACTTGAGATCTGAGATGTGCGCTATTTACAGTTGAGACTTTCGGGGGCGGAAGGCGGCGTGGACGTAGATACTGGGTGTGCACACACCCCTCTCTGGCCACGAGAATTCCAACTCGCCAAGCCCTTACAAGCAGCCACAAGCTACTTGGTGCCTCTGTTTCCTCACGCTACTTACTTATTTGGAAATGATGAGGCCCGCGGTTGGCTAGAGATAAGAGCAGGCTCTGCCCCTCCTAATCAGCAAGACCAGCCTATGGGTGGTGTGATTTAAGGCGCTATGTAACCCAATCTATTTCGCACAAACAAGCATCGCAGAACCCCGGCCAAATAGAAGCTTCTTCCTAGAACCCGAGCTTGGTCGGCTAACTATTTTATTATTATTAAAAAAAGAATTCCGGGCATCTCGGGGTCACGTGATTGATTCTCAGATACTGATTCAGATGGAGTATAGAGCAGCTTGGAATAGTTCTTCGTTTCTGTGTGTGTCCGGTGAAACTGACTCGACAGCTACGGCGGACAATTGTGGTCATCCAGCAAGTGAGTTTTTGCTTGGTGTTCTGCCGGCAGAACGAATGCATTATTCTAGCTAGACTATTGAAGTATATATATACAGTACGGTCTGGAGTGATCGAGATGATTATGAACTTAACAGAGAGAGAGTGCGTGTATATGTAAGTATTCATACACTGACCCCTTGCCTTAGATAATATTCAGGTGTTTACTATCTCTAGTTGCTATATGAATTTATTTCTTTCTAACTATGGCTTTTCTAAACAAACATAGAGCCTTGTTCAGATATATAGAGACTAGAGCCTAGTATTATATTCCACAGGTTTTATAGTTTATAATTTTAAAATCTCTATATTACTTCTGCAAAGTCTAGTATTGCACTAATAGTACTTTCTTTGCTTTCAAGCTCTAGCACCAAGTCAGTCTATCACGAGTTTCTTCAATTCTATGCATACTGTGCTTTTCTTGCTGAGTTCACTTTCTAGGCCCTAAAAAAAGCAGATAATAATAGTTTTTAAAAATTATATTTTAAGATTCAAAAATCCTCTATTACTCGAATTAAAAAAAACTTAGATCGTTCATAAAACAGATAAAATGATTCTGAAGCCGGTATGTGGAAAAATTAAAGAGTTTAATTGCAAATTTTTTAAAGGACTCATATTGAAAATATCTATTATTTCTATTGTTATTGATTTTTAGCTGTATAGAATGATGAAATTGCTTTTTTTCATATACAAAACTTGTTTAATAAAAGCCTAATATAGTTATTTATTTTCTTATTTTTTTATATTGTATAAAAAGCATATACGTCTGCATAGTGCCAGCTTGAATTATTTTTTAGGCTTTTTTTAATCTAACTGCAGTTGATGTTAAGTTTAGAATAATCTAAATTAAAAAGAATTTAAGTATGAATTTTTAATACTATACTTCTATAATTATCAAATTATAGTATCTGAGCTTAAAAGTTTTTAGTAATATCTATTCTTCTTTTTATATTATTAGATAGAATGGCTTAATCTGACTGTTATATCTTAATTTTAATCTGACTATAATCTGGCGGTTAGATTTAAATATAAAAAAGTATTAACTATATAATTAAAATTTAAGAAGAATTCTGAATACCTTTACTTCTACTTTAATAAAACCTTACTTTTCACTTAAACTTTATATAGGATTCTATATAAAATTTAAGTAAAAAGTAAAGTAAAAGTAAAAGTAAAGTAAAAGATAATATTATAAATAATCTCTGTATTTATGGCGAATTGCTAATAGTATATTTACTTATCTTCAGTATAACAGTTGTAATGTTAATAACTCAGATTTTTTTTAGTATTTAACTTTCAGAATCTTACTAGACTTTTGGATAGTAAGAATTAGTTTTGAAATTAATAGACTGCTACTATTCTATATTTAACTGTATTTTTTTCTTTATAATTCTAATTCTTTTTTTTAATTATTTATAGAATATAGTATATCTCTGTAATTCTTATATTTAGATAGCAGTTTAGAATCAGAAACCTTTTTAACTACTAATAATTTATTAATTTTACTATTAGATTTTTTTAATAGAGAATCTTACTATAGTTAGAAATACTATTAGTCGGCTATAAGATTATCAGCAGTTATAAAAATAAATTATTAAATTATAATAGAAAATCTAATATAATAATATTAAATTAGTACCGACTTAATAATAAAAAACTTTTTTTTTAAATAAATCTAAAATAAATATTAAAATTAAAGATATCCCGCAATTCGAACTTTTCTTTAATATATAA